TATACTCCACAGTGCCAGACTAACATTTTCGAAGTAAATATCTACCTGCTGGCCAGGGCTCTTTCTGGTAACGAACATACTACTGGAAACGGATACATCTGGATGTGTTCAGAAATATAGAAACATTTGCAGACAATCCGAAATAAACGCTTGTTTTTTTTTTTTTGTTTTTTTTTTCACTGATAACATTCAAATGTGTGCGTTGTATACTTGAACTTTTACCTGTCATGATGAATCGGGGTTCTCCTTTGCGTTGAACGTTTATTGGCTCACAATCTCACCTCAAGTTGAACTCATATATACGATCTATAGATAAAGATACGGGTGAAAATGGTTGATTCCGTTACAGTATCTGGCACCCCCTGCAATACTCTATATTTTTTAGAGACTAATCAGACAAAAAAAACTAGAGTATTGCATCTATATACGGGCTTGAGTTTCCCAGTCTTCATTTGGCTTTCTTCAAAACCTACTACTTGGCCTTGTGGATGATGACTTATATTTCACTCTATAAACCCTTTTCCCACAGACAAAACGTTGCGAGCCTCTCACTAATCTATTACTATTTCCATGACATTCATTGGTTCCAACAATGCTTGCTTTTTCAGCTGGGACCCGCCATGACACGAATACAAGTGTGAAACATCTTCATTCCTGACGTATTCATTTAGTAAAAAGTCAGGTCGGACAGTTTCTTCCTAAGTATTACTGCTTTGAGTGTTTTCTCGATCAATACAATCTTCAGGTGTAGAGTAAACCGTTATCTTTCCTATACAACCTTAATAACTGCACTTCTTGTTTTTTCTTAATCTAATACAACGCTAAACAGAAACCCTCTATCTTGAGTGGCTCTTGAGGTTTGTATTGGGTAAAAGTTAGTATAAAAAACATCGATTCCTCTAAAAACACGAAAGGAGAACCTACGCACGAATTTCTTCGAAAATAATTTAATGATTGCATTTTTATAAGCGTTCTTTGGACAAATCCATATAAGCATTTTTTTGTGGGGGTGGATACGTTTCCTTTATTTAATTGATTTATTTAACCACAAATATTAGAAAAGTGTCATTGATCAGTCAGTCAGTTAAATGCCACATGTGATACACGCTTGGCCGATCATGTATACATGCCTGGCGAGGCAGATTTTTCCGGCAATAGGTTGCCATTGAACACACTTCCTATATTTTTTTAAAGTCAAATTGCTGAATATTTGGTTTCATCAGTATATACATTTGGATCACTTACTAGATTTTGATGATATTGACTCCAAAGCCATTGGTAGTGATTTCAGTTCTCCACTTAACAGTGTCATAATTATAATAACTGTAAACTAGATATCGTGCCAAAGTTTCAGTTAGAGGCAATGTTGCCCGAGGTTCTGTCCGCAAAGTACCCAGCCTATCTATATTAACGAAAGATTATACTTAAACAATGATGAAAGTTCTTAAGGCGTTTACGTGAATGTAAAAACAAAGGTACAGATAAATGGTAAATTATCCAAAATTTACTTAGAGGAATAAAAGCAGGATGTTGGGGAGAGATATGAACACCTACGTCCTGAAGACACATAACATAAAAGCGTCTAAACCAGAGATGTCTTCAAGGTTTGGTTTGTTTTGTTTTACGGTATATCAAACACAATGGGTTATTTAATGCCGACAAGATTTTTTATTGCTGGTAATTTTTCTCCAAAAAAGTATTGTTGATAATATTTTAGTCCAAGAATGTATTGCTGGTAATAATTTTTCTTCAAAAATCTATTGTTTGCAATAATTTTCTTACAAAAAATATTGCTGGTATTAAAACCTATTCTTATACTTTCATAGTGTTTTAACTTCAGTTTAGGGGTTAACTATTTACCTATAGCTGGGACCCTAACATATGTTACCACCCGGGCCAGAAAACGTCAGCAATTAAAAAGTGATTCCACGCTTCTCAAAACCTCCGGACCTTGCTGTCAGATAAAGTTTATCGTCTTACCCAGGACGCGGATGTAGTTTATCGTCTAACCCAGGACGCGGATGTAGTTTATCGTCTAACCCAGGACGCGGATGTAGTTTAACGTCTTACCCAGAACGCGACTGTAATTTATCGTCATACCCAAGACGCGGATGTAGTTTAACATCTTACCCAGGACGCGGATGTAGTTTAACGTCTTACTCAGGACGCAGATGTAGTTTATCGTCGTACCCAGGACGGGTTGTCTTCATTCCGTTCAATATAATTTCTATTGTCATCTTTCGGGATTGCCATCAGCTGCTTTTTTGCGTTCTCTTTAATTCTCTTTCACGGTTGGAAAGTTTCAGAATTTCAGCAGAGCTTATAGTTTATGAGGTCACTAGTCATGCGACATTTTGCCAAGAAGCCTTGCACATAACGCCAAGAATTAGCAGTCGGAACATTCAAAACAGTTGTTTACTTTGTTACAGGTATTAACACTTTAGAAAAGATTTTTATGCTCCTGGTAAATTTGATCCGTAAAGAATTTTGGTGGGCTCGTGTGACTCCAAGGAAAATAAGACAAATAAATATTGACAAATACATTGATATGATATTTTACTAAAGGGAAAATGAGAAATTAAAGGTAAAGAGTTCAAGCAACTTTTTTGTTTCTGTTTTTGAGGTACTTACATGTCGACGGGAGCCAAAGGAATACGTTTTTTCGCTATGAAAAGTTACCAAGGAAGATATGGGCTTTCAAATCTCGCGCTGACTCTAATCACCGCCAGGGTGCGGTAATTCAAAAATTCGGCGCCTGTGATTATCATCAGGGGGCAGTAATTTAAAAAAATACTCCTCCCAAATTGAAGAAGATTTTCTTATGAAATCTGATTTGCAATGTATGTTTCTAAATGTCGACTTCTTTTTGTTGTTAGTGTTGTTAGAGGTATTTTAAATGTCGACTTCTTTTTGTTGTTAGTGTTGTTGAAGATTTTTACATGTTGTCGTGAGCTAAAATAATATATCTTTAAGCTATGAAATGTCACCGAGAAAGAGATGGGTGCTTTTTAATCTTGCGCAGCCTGTAATTATAGTCAGGGGACGTTAATTCAAAATCTCACCGTTTGCGATTACCATTAGGAGGCGGTAATCCAACAACTTTCAAGCAGTCCATGGAATTTCCAATCCTCCGCATTCTTGCACTATCAATCACCGGTTTCCATTGATTGCAACTTGCACGCATTCAACATTGCCACATTGTCTGCATCTTTCCAGGATGTGGATGACTTTCAACGGATTCTTGGTCAAGTTAAAAGCGTTAAATTTGAATCTAGGCTTCGCTTATTAATTCATACTCGAATGCCTACTTAATCATTCGAGAAATTATGAATGCGAAGGCCACGTGTCTGTATCCTTACTCAGTGGGGGTTCATTGCCAACTGATTAATCCTACAGGAGATAATCTGTTTAGGAATGTGTAGTGATGCCTACTATGAAAAGGTAGCAGGAGATCGGATAGAAGAACTGAATGATCATTTCTGGACATTATAATCATTGCGTTGTTATTTACTGTAAAGCTCAATGCGGTAGAAATATCAGGAATGCTAGTAAATATATGCATTCTGTTTGTAAAACTGATGATGTTCAGTAGAAGTGTGTTAAGTAGCTTGATATCATGAGAATAGTTGTAGCTGGTCGATTGTATACAAATCGATATCCAATCAATATCGATTAGGTCACTTTGGAGAAAGCTTATGATGTAAAACTTGAAATTCGTAATGAACATCGGCTAAAACTCCACTGATTGTATTTGCCAAAACATTATAAAGTTGTATTTGACAAAAGTTAATTTTTGTAGAGTTTTATTATTATTATTATTATTATTAATAATAATAATAATAATAATTTTGAGTAGATGTCATGTTCCACAAAGCTCAGTGTTTTGGACCCTCGTGTAAAAGTCAAGGATCTTGTCTTGTTTTTACCTTTCTTGACTATACCCAGTACTCCCATCATTATTGGTGTAACTATAATTTTAAGGTTCTACGCTTTTCTCTATTTAAATCTCAAGATCATTATCATTATTCAGTTAGTTTTACCAGATATTTTATTATAGCTGAACGACAAAAGGCTAAAAGCATCCTACGATACAGGTTTCGTTCTTCGAAAGGATTTCTTTAGACTACTAATTGTTTGGTCGATAGAATCCTATATATCGTATCAGTGCGTCAGTTAAGTGCCATACATGATAGACGCATGGGTGATCCTGTCTCTTTCGATTCATGACTGACTCAGCAGAAGATTTCCCGGCTGCCATTTCTTTCTATGGTCGACTGATTGCAAACCAAAGCGATAGAACCCAGTCTATAATCATTTCCTGAAGCATCTCAGTTCAACTCAATGTCCCAAATTTCCCCAACCGTTTTTGTATTGTGCATGTCACAATTCCAAGGGAACCCACAGCAGCAACTTCCACTTTCTTAGGCTCCCACAAAGATTTTATGTCAAATAGTGATAAAGTGTTGTTTTTCGTCTTCGTATCATTCGTTCTTCTTTTCTTTTTGAACTAGCCTGGTGTCTCCTTTTCGATCATTCTAAATGGAGTGACTTCCTATTCGACAGTTAGAGTTCCTGGCTTTCTGGCCTCAATCCTGTTATCACATTCTACGGTAAATTCCCATAGCAGAAGTTCCAAACTCTCATTTCTTTACTACATGTGGTTCATTCCCACCTCTCTCTATATATATATATATATACATATATATATATATATATATATATATATATATATATATATATATATATATATATATATAACACATTCTCCTAGTCTGTCTCTTTCTTATGAGAGGGTCTTGAAAACCTTTCCATTCTTGCCATTTTCAAATATGTCACCAAATGACAATGAATAACATTAATTTTTTTTTTTTTAATTATTTGGTACTTTAATTTTGAACAAGAACTTTTCAGCACCCCCACATTTATTCTCCGTTTCTATTCCGCCTCGTTTGCCTAATTTTTCTTCTATTTTCCCTCATTTTTCATCACCCCCACTTATTATGTTCATTTCCTCCCTTTTATTCATTCTGAACCTTTTCCTCTCCTTCTCTTTCATTTTTTCCATTAGTCTCTCTCATTTCTTTACTATTTTCCCTTATGTCTTTGCCGACTCCCTTTTCTCGCACCCTCCATATCCCCCGCCTTTCTCTCTCCCCCTTCTATTTCTAATTCTTTCTTTCTATTTCATTCTTTCTCCTTCTTCTCCTTCTCTCTCTCTCTCTCTCTCTCTTCTCTCTCTCTCTCTCTCTCTCTCTCTCTCTCTCTGCAATACTTTTTATATTGTCTTCTTTCCATTAATATTCCCGTTCCGACAAGAGATCACATTCATAAGGTCCCCACTTCTTTTCCATATTTTACACAGCAGAAAATTATTATTATTATTATTTCAATATTTTTTCCACAGTTGCTGTTTTTTTTTTTTTGGCTTTCTGTTTTTGTTTTTCTTTTAATCCCTTCACTCCCAATCAAAAAACAAACGCATGAGTTTACTAACAGTGAAAGAAACTGAAAACATTTTGAGACATTAAAAGAACCTGATTCACTGAGACAGAAAATGAGAATTAAAGTTTCATTTAAACTTTTGAAGATCGTTGTTGACAGGGAAGCAAGATGCTGGACGGGAGTTCCAAAAGCTAGAAGCGCGAGAGAAGACACAATTAACTAGTATTTACGTTTACAATCACCAATTTCACCAGCAAAATAATGTAACCTAGCTGCCATTCTAGTACTGAACTTGATGTCGAAGTGCCATAAAAAAAAGTTTATCAGAACGATTACCATGAAAATAAATTTTGGGAAGTAAAAGTGAAACTATGTTAAGGCGGCGTGGAAGTGATTGAAAGAAAGATGACAGGTGAGGATCAATAACATAGCAGATTTTTCTTTGGGTTATGTCAGCAATATCTGAATACATAACAGAAGCACCAGATCAGATATGACAGCAACATTCGATGCACAGATGGTAGACTTCGAAATGTGCAAGATAAATTCTTGAGAGAAAAAATTGTCGAGCGCGAACCAAATTCCTTATCTACCGGACTAGCAATTGATTGAATGCGAAGGCCACAAAGAAGAAGACAGTCAGTAGAAGACGTTCAGCCGTGAAGGGATTAGTTTGTTGGAGGTTAGTCTCAGATGTGATGATTGAAAGCTAAAAGTTTCAATTATACAATTAAATGAGATCAACTTCGTTTTAGAGGTATTAAAAACCGTTTTTTGTTTCAATTAGCAAAGGATTGAATGTCATTTTCGAGATTATTATCCATTTATTTTTATGGAACTTATCTGACTTACTATTGAGACATAAATACTGATGTCATCAAATTTGTCTTGTCTTGTATCTTTTTTGCCATTTTTTTTCACAATTAGATTAAATGGTACTACTCCCAAACTTATCAGAGTGATTGAAAAGTTACTCCTCATTTTAAAATACTTAAAATTTATTTATTAACTATAATTTTTACAAGAAATCGATATAAGAGGAAAGCGTTTAGCATGAGGTTTTATTAAAAATTCGATATGCCATCAGATTTTGCTACTAGCTTCTTCAGGTGACCAAGAATCACGTCAACTGATTTTACAGGGACTGTTGTGGTATGGAAGATATAACTTATATTCGCCCTTTAAGTTCTTCAAAACTCTTGGTTTGCTATAGTAGAGTTGCTTCTTTAACCAACTCTCAAAAAATATCACAGAGTTTTAAGACAGGGCTCCTGGCCATACATACATAAAATAGGAAGTTACTTTTCAATTACCCTGCAGTATATATTATTTTTATGTGTTACAAGCAGCCATACCCAGCTGGTCGATCAGAAAAAGCGTTCAATTAGAATGGAGCAAAAACAGCATCATGTTTAGATGTAACAGAGTCTATCTTCTTCAATTATTTTAAAGTACTTTCATTAAAAAAAACATTTTGAATTAATACAGTTACAGAAGTAGTATTTATTCAATCTAAGTTATCTGAAGACATGAAGGTCTAAAGCAGGCAACATGACGACCCACTTGAGACCACAATTATTTTGGAGTTTTTGAAATTCAATTTGTCAGTTTGCTAGAAAACGATTTTAACCTGTTCTCTTTCTACCTGAATAAGTCAAAGAATTTTTCAAAGATTCTTACAAAAAATTGTTTCAAGACGACTAAAAGTCTTATCTGAAAATCTGGAAAAACGAAATTAGTTTAGTGTTTTTTTAGATATTAAAAATTATGTGGGGTGGACAATTATCCCATTCGATTTGGATAATTTTGGTTACACGATTTGGATAGTTTTGCTGTTACACCTCGTATATGTCGTATTTTTCTTTTTCGTTAAGAGAGACGATATTATTTATTGTATTGTCTGTATAAATAGTTGTTTCTCTTTTATACATCAATATTCTATTTGTTTTTATTACGTTACATCTACTACATGTATCGATATCATATACCCACATAGCCAGAGTTACAGTCGAATAAAATCTGTCTCTTAAAAAATCTTGATTTATATACGGATCCAAGCGTAAATATATTAACGTAAACGTATTTGGGTCAGAAAATATATATATATACTTATGTGTGTAAAAGTGAGATACTATGGGTGTTTGTGTGTATTTATGTTGGACTCCTATATGTATGTATATATGTGTGCGTGTTTATCCGTGTAAATGTTTTCGTTGTTATGTATTTTTTTTTTTATTATAGATGAATCATTTGTTTGGTTTTTCTTTATCTTAACTTTCCTTTTTATTTTACATGACAGAACTATCACTCACTTGCAGACATATCGTCTGCTTTTATCAGTTTCCCTTTTGGATGTTTGCCAAGAAGAAAATATGCACGAATCTGTTGGAACGAAAACGAGACAGATCAATGTTTGGGGATATTATAATTTGCACCCAGCTTGAAGCTAAACAAGGAAATCTGTGAAAAGTATCAACAAAGGGGAAGGAGTATGACAATTTCTAACTTGAACGAATTATTACGCCATGAAAGATTTTTTAAAAGTACAAAGAGAACAGAATAAAAAGAAGGAGAAATGACACAAAATTTAGATTTTTAATAATCAAGAATTTTAATTCACCAATGTCTTCCTCTTCTTTCTTCTTCTATGAGCTCTCCACAACTTCCTATCCTTTTTAGTTTTTAGTAATATTTGTCATTTAATCATCCTCCCCTCTAATCATCCATTTACAAAAACTTGGCTCGCTACCGCGTCTCCTTTTTGCCTTCGATATGTCTTGGGTGTGTCAAATTTGTCAAGCCCTCCTTCCTCATTATGTCGCTATGTCATTGTGTTCTGATGAATATCAACTGGGAAGGAGAATTCCGAGCGCCGATTTCGAATTCCAGTAAATTTCGTTACACTAATTTTTGTACAAATGCTCTTTCGAAAGGCATGAATCCATCTCTTCTACATTCTCCGCCTACCAGCTATGGATTAAACAGTAGGACTTGTATCTGGAAAAATCATTGTTAAAACAATATTCACCCGCAAGAGAATTATTTTTACAACCCTCTCCTAAATATATTTTGGCTTTAAATAATTCCCAAAGGGTTGATAAACCGTAAAAACCAAATCAATCAGTTCACATTAGGTGTCTAAATATTTCAACAGTCTTTTTATGATTTTAAGTCAGCTTTTTATAAGCATTTTTCTTAGAAGTTCCTCGTTGCTCACATCTAAATAATACTATTCTCAGTATCGTTGTATAAAATCACATACCTACTACCTCAATTCTTCTCTTCATCTTTGCGGAAATTTGGAAGGATTGATATTACGTAATAATTCAGCCCTCTTTTTTTTGACGAGATCTTCCTGTTTCTTAATACTTGTTTAGTTTTAAGAAGGCATCTTTTCCTATTCCAAAGTGTGTATCTCATTTTCCATCTTCTGTTAAAGCACTTTCCAAATATTTAAACTTATGCCCTTGAGGCTATGTCTTAAACATTACAAAGCGGGTATGTCAAAATCTATACAATAAAAAGATAAGAGATAATAATGAATTGTTTACAGAGATGTAAAAACAAAATGGCTGAGCTGTGAGGGATCACAGGAAACAGTTTTTAGCAAATTTCTTTCATAAGGCTTTACTATTATAATGAATTTGGATCTCACAGTAGATAGCAAATTTGTAGCCTTAAGCTAGACAAAGCCAAATTTAGCAACTATTTGAATCGTCTAGGGGCAGATGTAGTTAACGCTTTCCACGGCAGCGAAGACTTCGGCATTTCATTAGGGAATATTATGAAAGAAATTGATTGATAGTGCATCGAATATTACAGAAAGTTTTGCTACACTATAGAGATGAATTGAAAGCAAGTTTATTTCAGCTGTTTATTTAGAATGTAAGTTTTACCCAGGAAATGAGAGATTCAAGTAAATCTGTCTGAGAAGATCGCTAATATATATTTGACAGGTATTGACAATTAATCAACTCTAAAGACCTCTCTCTCTCTCTCTCTCTCTCTCTCTCTCTATATATATATATATATATATATATATATATGTGTGTGTGTGTGTGTGTGTGTGTGTGTGTTCCTGTGACATTCTAAACTCATTTATTGTTCATAAATTGATCAATACATGACAGGTACTTGCATTATTTACATTATTCGGACTGTTATCATCTTCATTGCCATATTCACAACGATTTGGCTTCTATATCTCTGAAATGAGGTATTATGATTACTTGCATTATTTACATTATTCAGACTGTTACCCTCATTATTTACAATTTTCTCTATAGACTGTATTTATCCTCATATTTCATTATTCGGACTGTTATCATCATCTTCATTGCCATAATCACAACGAACCGGCTTCTATATCTCTGAGATGAGGTATTAGGAAAACGCACATTATTTAAATTATTCAGACTGTTATCATCATCTACATTGCCATATTCACAATGAAATGCTATCTATATCTCTGAGATGAGGTATTAGGATTATTTGCATTATTTACATTATTCAGACTGTTATCCTCATCTTCATTGCCATATTCACAACGTTTCGTCCTCTATATCTCTGAGATGAGGTATTATGATTACTTGCATTATTTATATTATTCGGATTGATATCCTCATCTTTATTGCCATATTCACAATGTTTCGGCCGTTGTACGTACCGTCCTTCCTCAGGTGATTGGAATTTCGAATCGAACCCTTTATTTCGTCCACCGGGGTAGATTGTTCTAGTTCCACGTATCGTCAAGGATACATGTCCATGGGGATAAAGACGTTGTTTAGATCCAGTGACTAGACCCAAAGAGTTGTGAGTTCAATATCAGGCCACAGCAGTGGTGAACAAAACCTTGGAGAACTG